ACTCCCTGGGAGGTTGCTGCTGATCTGCCTCGGGCACAGGCAGCTGCGTCTTACACAAGTGCCTCTGTGCAGCCCTTTCCTCGGGGTCCCTGCTGGCACAGAGTTTAGTCTAACCCAGACTTCTCTAGGCAGGCCTGGGAGATGGCAGTGGCAACCTGTACTTTCCTTCTTGCAAATCCAAGAAGAACATGGGAGTCCCAGCTCTGCAGAGGTGGTTGAAAGGCTGGCAAAGAGTCCATTGAGTTAAAGTGCCTGTTTCATATCCAGTGGAGATGCAATGTAAACACACTGAAAATCCTCTGGCAGCAATCCTCTCCCTGAACTCACACAGAATTATTGGGAAACCAGCTGCAGACAGTTGCCCAGCCTTGTTCTTTCTGCTCCTGGCCCGCTATGTTTTCATTCTCTCTCTCTGTCTCTACCCTGTGGTGGCGTTCAAGAGCAAAGTGAAACAAGGGCTGAACGTAGCAGTAGAAAGCTTTGCTATCTCCACAGAAGTGCAGGAAACTGAGTGTGGCCAGGGAGTAGGCTCCAAAAGCCAGAAATGGAGCATCAAGGAATTTCAGACTAAATCACCTTAACTCTGCCCAATGCTGAGCTGACGGAAATAGTCCCTCTGCTTCGCCAGATGGCAGGACTATGATGGTGAAGCAAGGGATCTGGGGCAGGGTCTTGAAGCTCCCCTGTAGTAGGTGACACATATTACAGGACCCGGTGGAGCCTTTCCCTGCCTGGCTTGGAGCATCCCCTGCCCTCACTGCATGGGGGGCAGGAGGGCAGCTGTGGGGTCTGTTCTGGCCACCAATCACATGGAGGTGGCGTGCTGTGAGCACTGCCAGCTTCAGGGCTGAAGTCCCGGATTTGTTCTGAGAAGAGCTGCTGCACAGTGTGGTGAGCTCTGTACACGTGCCTGTGCAGCCCTGGAGCGCAAAGTCAACACAGCACCCTGCCAGGCCTTGAGCTGCAGCTGGAGAGAGGAGCCGCCAGGCTCCTGTGTCCCTCCCAGGTGGCTAGGGAGTTCAGACTCCCCTCTGTGAAGAAGCCTTTCCCCGGCATCCTGCTGAGACGTGGCCAGGCCTTGGCAGGTGCTCGATTGCCTCTCAGGTACCCTCGGGACAAAGTCCTCGTGCCCTGCCAGGCTGGCGTGGCTCAGCAGTGACTGCGTAATACCAGCCACCCTCAGAGGGGCTAAACCCCGGCTGTCCACACTGTGACTGAGTATCTTACTTCGCCCCTTCCTCCGGAGGTAGGCAGGGCGCTTGAGGAAACATCTGGTGGCTGGTTTCGTGGTAGTCCTGCAAGGCCAAAAGCTGCCAAAGTCTCACTCCTGCTCTTTTACCTTTTGCTGCCAGGCTGGGGCTGTTTAAATAAGCCACAGTTATTTACCATGCCCCTTGGTCCTCGTGCGGTGCTGTGCTCTGCCCTGGAGGCTGCCTGGCCTTGGGGCTCTCACCGAGGCTGGGAGGCGCTGGCAGGCTCAGACAGACTGCACTCCTGAGTGTGTAACCCCAGGGTTATCTCTGAAAAATGAAACAGCCTGGCAGGTTATATGCATGTGCAGCTAATGAGGGAGGAAGTTTCACAGCCCTTGAGCTTGTCCCAGTTACCTTTCATCTCCTATAGCCTTTATCACCTCCCCAAAGGGCCTGGTACAGCCTTTAGTGGAGATGGGGGCTATGATGGTGGATGCTAGGTTAAATATGTGTGTTTTCTTCATGAATAAGGCAATATGCATCCTGGCATACTTTAGACATGTGGACGGCTCACACATGCTGAAGATTTTGGGCTGCCCTGTCTTTACCCTGGTATCTCCACACCACACAGCCTGCTCAGGACAGCTTCTCCCCCCACCACGTGGGATGCAATGCCAGTCACACCCAGCATCTCCTTCATGACAACATCCCATGCACCCTCCCCATCTCCTTCCCAACCAGCTCAGGCAGTGCTGTCTGCTCGTGTCGGTGTCATCTGCCCCTTGGTACTTCCCAAAAAGCCAGAAGGCCATGGGGAATATGTTCAGCTAGATCAGCGCAGCTCCACTCCTAGGAAGCAAGAGCCCAACAGTCATGGTCCCAAGGCTCACATGTTTTTGTTCTCCAGAAAAAGTAGCCAGGTCATGCATTCGTGCTAGATGCTGCAATCTGTGGCTGCCCAGAGCTCTAGTTTGCAGTAGGCATGCTGCCACAGCCAGCCCCAGGGCTTTCCAAAGGGATTGGCAGCATCCACTCACTGCAGGAAAGAGGTGCGCGGAAGGTCACAAGCCTACCGTTCCCTGCGAACCTCTTCCTTCACGGTGGCAAGGGCATATCCTGAGGGTACTCAGGGCAGGAGAAAAGCAAGTGAAGAGCAGAGTCAGCAGCCCACTTTGCCTTGTTGCTCTGTGTCTTTGGCTGATGGCACTGCAGGGATGAAAGGAGGTCCTGCCAGGAGGTCTCCTGCTTCTACTGGGCTTGATTTTCCTGGAACCGGGATGTATTGGAGACCTTTATGCTTGGGTCTAATGTTGACCTATGGCTTGCTGTTGACCTGTGGGTTTAAAAGGTTTTGAGAAAGGGACCCACAGACTGAATGGCCAGTATCAAATGACCCTTGCTTGTAGGAAATGGGGTTAAACCAGAGTGAGCTGGGAGGAATGAAAGAGGGTGCCACCCTAAAAGAAGAAAATGAGTGCAGCGCTTTATGTCCCAGGACTTAGTGGCACAGTCCCTCCAGGGGACAAAAAAATGCTCAGCGCCAGTGCTCCCACATTGCTCTGAAGGGAAAATGCAGAGACCACCCGCTTCCCGAGAGGCGTCTGTGCTCTGGAGGGTGGACATCAGCACTTCCCCGTGCATTTGGGCATCTCCTGGGAGACTGCCAGTCTCTGAGAAAGGCCTTGCACACCTTAAAAATCAGGACCTCGGTAGCTTCTGGGCATCCTGCTTGAACAGACAGGCCAAATTACAGGAGATTTAAAAATCTTCCCTTGGGTTTCCCAGGGCGAGCTGGTGGGGCATCTTACCAACAGCCACCTGAGACAAGATGAAGTTACAGTGAGCAGTAGTGAGTGTGTAGGCAAATCTTTTGCATTTATTCGTTTGAAGTTGATTAAAATTCTGCAGTAAAATGAAAGAAAGGCTACATCTTGGAAATGAAAACCCTGCCCTGAGATGGGAGACTAGCCTCCAAAGCAGTCTTGGCAAGCCCATTTGAATACTTCTTATATGAAAATTGAGGGGGTGTCAGAGCCATGGCTACAGGGCTCTCTCCTCCGCTTGTTTCCCAGTCTCATCCCAGTGAGTTTGCCACAGCAGCACTGTCCCAGATGCTGAGCTCTGGAGATGATGTGCTAACTGCAGGGCCCGCTGGAGGTTTAGGATTGTTTTAAATAATGCGGGCTGCTTGATTAGTTGAACCAGCCTCGTGGTGCCAACACACTTGCTATGTATGGCAAACACGCTCCATTTTTGGCTTCAAGCACACTTTCCATGTCATCAATGCAAAAAATTAAGTGGGCACAATGTCATAAAGGTAAGGAGATACTCCAACCCCCCTGCCTCCCCAAACCACAAAAAAAGTCCCTCATTTATTTAACATGACAGGAAAGAAGCCATTTAATCTAGCAGCCACAAAGATAATACTACTTTATCTTGGTTGCTGTGAGTGGTAGAAACTTGATACAGCACGCTCCCCGTGAGAAGGCGATTGTTTCTATTTTTGTGGGGGCTGGTATTTCTGGGATTAAGCAAGATGCTCTGGATGCAGCCCCAGCTCCCCGGATGCCTGCTTTTGGGCAGTATGGCAATAGCAGTGTTTTGCATGGGGCTAAAAGCCCGGTCAATATAAAGCAGTGCATGGTGGAGTTTGATCTGGCAGAGAGCAAAGCTGCTGTGAGTTCATGAAATAAAGCCAAAATGCACATCCTGCATGAGACTTTTGCAATCAGTAGGATTTAGGCAGTGTTATTCCAGGGAGGAATACCAACCCTGCCTACGTTTCTTGCTCCCATCAGATCTTCCCGGAGTGCTGCTCCCCTTTGCTTGAGCATTGGGATTTCTCTGCTTATTCCAGACTCAAGGCAAAGAGACACTCAACAGGAAGGACTAAATACAGCACATACCAAAGCCCATCGCAAAATGTGGGTCCTACAATAGCAAACAGCTTC